CATCTTCCTTATAATTTAGTATTTAGTGAAATTTGTTATGATGTATGCAATCCTGAGTCAAAAGTTCCGTATCACTTCAACAAATTTATTTGGTTTTAGAAAGTGTTGACTCAAACAGTTTCAACAACAGTTTCTGATAGTTAATATCAGATATTGCTATTTGAATATCCAGAGAATAGTTAATATATAGATGGTATCACTTAATGCTCATTTGATTAAGTATCTACTACATAGTTGCCGTGGTAGTCAGAGTACTGCCTTGGTATCTAAGCGTTGAATATGCCGTTGCGTCAACGCAAGACGTTCTTGGACTATTATTGACTTGATATATGGAGATTGAAAAGTTTTGATTGCCACTTGGTTATCGCTACATAATCTAATAATAGTTTCTGATAATTTTATTTGGTGTAGAGTAGCAACGTGATACCTTTTCCGCTTGATAAGCGATTGTAAGATCTGATATTTAATGTGGCAAGATTTATACACGTTTGACTTTAAACTAGACGACAAACTCAACTGAATTGTCTACTACAGTAAATATATATACGAAAATTCAATGTAAAGTGATATGATTGACATACATATTATCACTAACTTTTTGTGAAAAAAGTAAAGTTTTTTGAAATAATATTTAAAATTTGATTTAATCCCCAAAAAACTCAATTTATTCAATTCTTTGAGAGAGAGAGATACTACGGAAAACTCTCGCTGAATACAATTTTCCACTCACAAAGCTAATATATTGACATGGGCCACTTATATTGATTACAAAGACCGTATAATTATACCCTAAAATGCAAAGTAAAAGTATCGTCTGTTAGAATTTACTGATTATGGACACGAACCATTAATCTAGTGCAAATATTTGAATACCGCGTTTTGTTTGTAGATTATTAAAAATCTGTGCCAAATATTATAACACGAAGACCGTAAATAATAACAGCAGCAAGCTTGCCGACATTAGGCCTGTTCCACGAGCTACTCATAGTAAAACATGAGTAAAACAGAAGTAAAATTTACACAAAAATACTTGAAAATTTGCTGGTGGAACGCGCTTGTGTATACACAGTGTTTACTCAAAGTTACTATGAGTAGTTCGTGGAACAGACCTATTATTTAGAAAAAATACTTGATTACTGAAATACATATTTTTTGTTTTAAGTAATTAAGTACATATTTTATTGAAAATTTACTTGATAAAAAAAGACTTTTTTGAATTACTTTTGAAAATGAAATTAAATAATTACTAACAATGAAGCAAAGATCGTAGCATTTGTAACTAGATAACTTAGAACGAATAGCGCTAAACATTTGCTGAATGTCTAAAGTTTAGTAGCTGAAAAGAATAAATATCCGTGACACAGACCGTATAATTAAAGTTCGTACAAAAACCCCATTTTGCATGAGTCAAAGACCGTATAAAAATGTAGAGTTTTAGCACGTAAAAATAAGTTTATGAAGAGCGTTAATTTATAAAATTTTCAAAATTATGCCAGACTGCCTAAATTTATACTTCAAATATAGAAAAACAGATTGATCGATTTTCAAAAATATCCATCCAATACCATATCTATCATATCTATATATGGAGAATGCGATTCCTGAAAACAAAGTAGTGACTAGCTTTTTAGTTAGCGCTGTCAAAATCATATTGTTATGCGTGTTAATAATATGAGAAAAGATTAGTATTAAATTTTAAAAAGCCTTATAAATATAAATAACTTATTTCGAACCATTGTATATAATAGACTTTAAGAGCTGATAAGAAATTTTATATAATATACAGTAATTTGCTAAGCTTATAATACATTAAAATCTAAATGTTTTATTTCGTTTATTTTTTACAAATGAGGAGAAAATGCTAGATATATTTGGAAAAAGACTGTCGAAAATGAAAAAAAAATCAAAGACCGTATTAGAGTTTTAGTCACGAATAAAAGTTCTTCAAACACTTTTCTGATATTAAACAAAGACCGTAATATTACGGTCTTTTTTTTAATATCGAAGAAAGTTCTCCTTATGCAGAAACATCGCAGGATTTAGAAGAAGCGTTTTATATAAAACTATAACTGACAAACGCAATAAGAATGATAAGGGTAAATATTAGGTCTGTTCAACGAGCTATTCGTAGTAAACCTCAAGTAAAACACAAGTAAAATTTACACGAAAATACACGAAAATTTGCTGGTGGGTCGCACTTGTGTATACACATTGTTAAAAGTTACTACGAGTAGCTCGTGGAACAGATCTATTATGCTTTACAATGATTTATTTAAGATTAGTCATTTAAAGACATAATAATCTTAGTATCAACGAATTCTATTATTATTAACATTAAATTAAAATTGAAAGTTGAGTTGTGTTCTACACAATATTTTTCACAATTCCCTTTCCTAACAGATGTTAAAATAAGTTCAAATATAGCTTAAATCATGCGTTTCAATATAATTCACAATAAAATAGTTCTATACTAGTTACGATATTACAATTCGTAAGAGTAAAATAAAGGAATAGATCAATACATTATCTTTCAAAGTTAATCCGATTCAGCGAATCTCTCACATTTCCAGATTTTTCCTACAGAGAGATTAGTCGTTTCATTTGAACTAGGACTAAATTCTAATAATTATTTTTTAATTTGAGTTCATTATCTTTTCCAAGACGTTTGTGTGGATTGCAAATAGATAGTTGCTTGGAGTGAGATCCCGAAAACACGCCGCGTGGGAGAGCAAGTCGAAGTGACTTTGTGTAATTTCAGCCCCATTCTAATCAAACTGTGAGATGCTGCATCAGTATTTAATGAAGCATATTTTCTTATACTTCATTTTGAAGAGGAAAATAATATGGATGATTTATAATTTTTCAATAGTAATCGACATATCGAAATAAATAATTATTCACGTGAATATTCAAGTTTCTTCCTCGATTCTTCCTCGAGCATCTTAACAAACTTGGTATACTTTTTATTCACTAAGGTGTACAAAGAACTATTTGAAATTTTAAAACTGTTATCTATAAAAAATATAAAAGATACTTGTAATAAATTTTCTTCAATGCTCTTTAGCTCTTAGTAGAGTTCCAAATATGAAGAGAGTGTTTTCACTTCTCATTAACTTTTTTCCATATCCCGAAAATTAGATGTCAATCTAACGTAAGTGCAAATAAAGGAAGTTGCTTTCCATAGTGCGTGAAAGATATAATCTACATCTCGTTGAAACTTTGCATTGAAAGAGCAACAAAACCGATTTTATATTACAATGTGACATTATTAATTTGGTTGAATTGACTATATAAGTAACTAACGATATTCATGAAGTTTTTTGAATATTTTGACGTCTTCATTGAACCTATCGTTGACAAGGTGTTATAATCGTTGTCTAAAGATCATGTGGAGTAGAGAAGCTATTTGAAGAGTAGTTCTATATTTTAACCATTGTTATTATGAATTTATTTTTCGCATGTCTGAATCGGTTAAGATTTTCAATCTACACTATATCAAATATTATTTTGTTTCCTTCTCAGCAAATTTGTGATACTTCACCAAGCCGTGTCTGGTACGGGTAAGGTTTGACTTTAGCTGACATAATCTCTATAATAGAAAAAGAAAATTCCCCTATCGGATTAAATTGATTAACTTGTGAAGTAGATTTTGAATCCAAAATATTTGATAAATACTAGAACATATATCCGAAAGCTGAAGATATGTTACCTTTAAAATGACAGTGTCGTTGGCTAAATGTATGTCAGTTGTTTTTCATTATCACAATTTTACGGAAAATAGAGAATTTTGAAAAAAGAAGAATTTTGAGGAGAAAGTAAGACATCTTAAAGTTTCTTAATAACTGTTATACAAAAAAGTCGAAAATATTTGAGTATATGTAGAAAATAGAAATTGACAATGTATAGCTTCCCAACAGAGAATAAACCAACTGTTATTAAATAGAAGTGTTATTAAATAGAGACAAATTAGATCCTTAATTTGCTGATTATTTGGAGTGTCACCCCAATATTAACTCATTTCAGTTTCACATTAGGGAGTTGCTAATGAGACTTCTTATTCCACAATAAGGATCTGGTCCACAGAATTGAATAACTGATTTAGTTTATATAAGACTGCGTGTTATTGATCGTTGACACAATCCCTTTGATTCCAGTGTGACCAGGCATTCAATGGAGTACTATACTGTCCTTGCTTGTCAATTGTTGTAGCATGTCATAGTAGTCTGCACTTCAATGTTTAAATAGTTCAGACATATAACTAGAAATAAATACTATGTTATATGCTTGCACAATATTATATGAACGTGAAAAGTATTTCTATAGTAATCTTTTCATGTGTGAATATTTATTTTAATTGTCAAGACAATTACTATCGTTCCTAAATTATTTTGACGTGGAGGTCTTGTCACAATTGTTTATTAAACCCTGAAAAACTACACAATACTATGTTAAAAGGCATGTGTCTAATTAGTAGACTCTATAGTACTTTAAACACATGTTTTCATTTTGCTATTAAAATTCTCAAAACCCTTATAACAGTATTTTAGATTTAAAAAAAAAAATTTATAAGTTAGCTTAGTTTAATTGAAAAATTAAATGTTAAATAAAAAACTATAGATTTCAGTTATATTATTTTTGTCAAAAGTAAGGTCAAAATTTTTAGTTCATTAAAAAAAAATGCGTGTTGTAAGGAAACGTAAGTCCCATAAGGTTCATAAAGTCAAAACTCTAACAAGAAAAATATTTAGAGCTGCATTTACTTCCATTAAAAGCTCCCGTGGTCGAACAGGGTTGGAGATCTTACGTGAAGCTGTAATTTAAGATAATAAAGATATAAAACTTATTTGCTTACAATTTTAATTTCACAGGAAATGGAAGAAAATCGCAAAAAAAGGAAAAAGAAAAAGGTTCGGTTTTGAAAAAAATGGTAAGAACTATAGAAATAAGATCCACAAGTTTTTAAGTGGTATTTTGTGGAAGGGTGAGCTACGAACCACTACGAAGCACAAATAAAAGACACATGACACAGCCTACAACCCGGTAGAGTTTCTGAGTCTGGAAGAAACTGCTACTGTGAAGCCTTAAACACTTGCTCGCCACTAATTGAATCATGTAAGATTGCAATAAATGCTACACAATTACTAAAAAGAAAGATAAGTGCACATTTCTACAAGGTAAGTCATTTTCTTTTTTTTGCAAAAGGGTTATAAGGAATTCTTTTATAATATATTTAAAGACTTCAACGTATAAAACAGAAATGAAATCATCATGATCAGAAAAACAGATCATGAAAATCTTTTGAAATGTAACACACACTAATACGATTAGCAATAAAAATAATTTAGAGGTGGATTCGGAGAAGGCTAAAATTCTCTATAAGCAT